TAGGAAGTGGTGTTTGAGGAAACTGAAAGTGAAGGGAAACAACATCATTGGGTGACTGTGGGCCGAAGATAAGAGCAGGTATTTAGAATGAAATATACGTCCGCCATGCTTGGTGTTGATGTAGGGACTTCACCAACATATTTTTATGCAGAGTAAAAGCTTTACGACATTGGTTGGCAGGGTTGGTTATTAGTAGGTGCTTTTACAGGAGCTTGAGATATTCTCCTGTATTTTGGCTTCATCGTGTTATGCTGCTTGTTTTAGGTTATAATTTATGGGCTTAGAATAGGAATAACATAGTTATAACTTCAGATTCGAACCATATGACCTCTTTTCTCGAAATAGCGGGTGTAATTGTGGGTTTTGTTACACCATAATCCAAATTATTACGACGAAACATTGCATAGCTTAATCTTACTTCGAATACCGAAACTTTATAGATGAATGCAGATTTTCTTTCATAACAAAGATAATTTAGGTGACGCTCGAAATCTAGTTTGTTAAGTGTCAGTGATCCAGGACGCTTCGCGCGAAAGTTACATTTAACATACTATCTTCTAATTACCTAGCAAGTATATTGATGAGCTTATGTTAGATCAGGTGTGTGCGGCCTTTCATACAGGAGGGCCAGATACGAATAAATGGATAAAACCGCGTGTCGCACCTTTACTTAACATAGGCTTTCTAGTAGTTGCAAGCGCAAAATTTTTTGTTATCAGCTGTTAGGGCACTGTAACATCGTAGGCAGATGATAAATTGAACTCAAAGAAAAAAATTACTCGAACGTACCAGCTTAAACAGCATCAAAAACTCGTGTACATTTTTTTGCTGGAGGTTGAACACCCCTCTGTTAGATGATCAACTCTTGCCAAACGTGTACGTATGGTTATGATAAACGAAAAGTCCCAACCTATGATGAACAGGGAATTTTCTTTCGCAGTATACTGTGTCTGGCTATGAGACGGCTTAATTAATCATATTACAAACAGCGTCTGGTCGTCCGATTATCTGTCCATGTCTGGTAGAGGCTACTCAAATAACCCAATTTCGCAAAATAGTTCGTACCAAGATGGAAATAATTGACAAAAACGAAAAAATAAAGTTTCCCAGATTAACGATTGCCAAAAGGTTACTATTGGACACAATTCGAGTAATGAATCGTTTTGCTAAAATTATTGTGGATGTGGTGGTTTTTCTTAATTAATATTGCCTGGAACAAATCGTTCTTCTCCGCAACTAACATATACCTAATGTTCAGTCTTAAAGATAAGTCGCTCAAAGACTTTTGAATATATATATTTACGGTTGCTATGATGGCGAATATTTCAAATCTTCTCAGCAAATTCGGCGCTCAGCTACACAACTGAATCCTTGTCCTACCAACACCGAAACGCAATATTGAGCATTATATGTTGTCAATAGTAGTATTTGAAATTTCAAATTCTATCACGCAGTATTGCTAGCGTAGCGAGGCCTTGTTTATGAGAAATATTCTATAAGACTTAAGTATAATCTGGATACTCTGTTATTATCCAACCAATAATTTACTGGTCTGTTTCCTTTAAGAAAAGGGGGTTTGAAACCTTTAATACAGGAGGGCCGGATGAAAATAACCGGGTGAGACCGCGGGTCGCTCCCTTATTTAACATAGGCTTTCTTTCTTCTAAAAATTTCGGTTATTGATCTTATGACATGCGTTGTTTGCACAATTTAGCTACCTAGACATAGATAAAATATTGAACCCAGGTATAGGATATTGGAATATCGAGCACGTGCCAGATTAAACTAAATCAAAAACTCGTTTCGCGGGTCGCACACCATTCAAAATTGGCTATTCTACGCGGGTCGCACAACTTCCCCTTGTGGGTTGCATTTGGCCCGCGGGCCGCAGGTTGCACACCCCTGATCTAAGGTTAGGTATATGATATTTTCCCATCACTGAGTTACCGATCTCTTTTCGCTCATTTTGTTTATATTAGGTTTAATAAATTAGAAGGTTCTGTTATTGCACGAAGATTGATTTCAGATCTGTATATCTTGTTGCATTGAAATAAAAGTTAGGGCAGTGTTCTATCCTGTTATTTCCCCACCACTACGTCTGACCATGTTTAATATAGAAACAGATTTGAGCTGAGTGTTCGCAATATTTCACATGTTTCTCACGATGTTTTAAAAAGTAAACACTGACATTACGTGTTTAGTCTGATTGTGACGGTGGTGAATCAGCTGACTGCTCTTTCCCACCAATGTGTTCGTCTGGTCATTGCGTGCGTTTGATTTTATACGTGTGCGTTTGTTGATGATTTAATTAATGATACGAACACTTCACTCTTACTTGACCTTTAATTTATTTGTTCCTATGTATAACAACATCTATAATTTGATTATCCCACTAAGTATTTCTGAAGTTAGGTTTGAGGAGCTTGATTGTTAGAAACTCGTCCTGGGCAGCAGAAGGTCTGGCACGCAACTGGTGATAAGCCGACTTATCCAATCCGTATCTTACTTATCTTATCCGAAGATAAACAGACTACGAGATCAATATTTCAGGTGTAGTGCGTTATCAGAATAACATCCAGTCCTTAAAGTTATTTTGAATCAGAGCTAGGTTCAGGCCAAGTGAAGGAAGGGTCGGTAATTCATTAATAATCTGCGACTTGAAACGGTCAATCAAAACAGCTCGGGGGTAAACAGTTCCGCAATGCGATGTTCTCGAAAACAATCATAGGAATGAAATTACGAAGCCCGGTGGTTATGCGGTTTATCGCTATGTATCCGCTCAAATGCAGTGTTATATCGGTATAATCCCTGTAGAAATGCATCAAATTTATCGGTATAAAATATAAACACGGTAGAATACCTCATTTTTTTGGTTTATCGACGAATTACGGTTTCTCGTCCTCTCGTAAGGTTATATGTTGGAAACAGTAATATTCAACCATTTATTCCAGATGCATGAATTTGATGGCAGAGGAGTCATTCTTCACGCAGATATTCATGCTCCGCTCGATTTGAACCCATGCAGAATAACCACGGTGCCGTCGTTAACTGTTAAGGTTGTTCAACATGCATGAGTCACCTCATGACGTCAGAGTGAAACGGCGCAATTTGTAGTCTGGGTTTTCCGAAGGAAGGCTCAATGTTTTTATAGACGCGAGCTTATCAGTGGTTCTCAACTGCAGACAGTTAGCGTTGAATTAAATTGACTCACGGACCGGTAACACAGGATTGAAATGATCCGAACATGAATGTGTTTCCGACGTTTCGAATTTCTATTCAGAAAACTCAATCAGGGCATGATATCGTAAATATATAGAGCAGAGTGTGCCTTCCCTAGCATGTCCTGATGAAGTTTTTCTTAATAGAAATTCGAAACGTCGGCAAATTAAATCGTTTTTCTAACACCGTTTGTGCTTTATTCATCATCGACATGAATATACACGGTGACCATCATGCGCTACTGAACGTAAATAAGAACGGATACTGTTGATGCTGTTAAACGTACAAATCTGAGCCCAGACGTATTGAAAATGAGTTTCCGTTGACTCGGTTCGTGAGAACTTCTGCCCCGTTTTCCCCAAAAATAATACGAGGACTTATTTGAATTTATTTAAAAAAAAAAACACTAGGGCTATTTGGAGGGATGTTTTTGTTTTCATTTATCAAAAACAAAATTACAAAGTGGAGAATTACGAGATTTTTAAATATACGAAATATGAAAACCGATATCCATTTACTTAGAAATAACACGTTTCATTTGAAAAAAAAACTTCTGAACACAGATTATTTAAAATGATCATATCATTATCCTATGTAATGTCTAGCAAGTCACTAGATTCATATATTTCAATGAAGATTTCACTTAACTGGATTTTCTTGCTCGAATGGGTCAAAAATATTTTGCGCGATTGACTAGATCTTATTTTAAAGGGAGGGCTGATATTGAAATTGCTTTTAAAATCCAGGCTAGGTCTTATTTTCAGGCCAGGGAAATCCTGGTATGGGCGGTCCTTGATTTTCCATATTTATATCGGCAAAGAGGAAAGATCCCAAGACGGGTTAGTCATATAACAAACCTTGGTCTCTCGTCCGGTTATCAGTGCACGTGGGAATGGTTGACCAGTTACTGGTTTTCATTTTTGTCAAAGGTACCAATGAAATGCCCAGATTTACTGAAGCCATATAGAACAGTGGTTCTCAGGCGGTGGGGCGCGCTCCATGATGGGGGCGTAGACAATTTTTAAGAGGGCGTGAAGCTAATTAAAAATAAAACTATTTGTTAGATTTGATCTTGCTCGCCTTATTTCGGATATTTACAAGAAGTTTTTTATTGTTTAGAGATTGCGATTCCATCCACGTATTTTCAAGGTGTTTTTTGAATAAAACATACTTCCCCCTTACTATCTCTTTTTTGTAGCATATTGTTAGCTGGTTATATTTGAGATGGGCGCGAGACTTGACAAATTCAAGAAAAGGAGGCCTAAAAAGTTTGAGAACCACTGATACATAATTATCGCAGTGAATCAAGCGCTACTAATCACTCGAGTTTTGAAGCATTCAAGACTCATCAGGAAACAATTAAGCTATGAGCGGATAAGCTATAATTTAGTGCAATGGTTCCCAAACTCCCAATATTCGCGCCCACTTTCAATACTTGTAGCCGCTAATTTTATATAATAAAAAAATTTGTTTTGAATATGATGCGTTTTCTTCAGTTATTTTATGCGCCATTTATGAAAAGCCAACCAACAAAATCGAAAATATAAATGCATTTCAGTTAAGTACAGAATTGAAGATCAGTAAATTTTCATTAACTTATCTGCGAATGGTACTTACTAGTGAAACAATTTGTTCGCCCCCTCCCCCGGCGAAGGCAAAGGCTCAGTTTGAGAAACCATGGTGTTGTGATTTCCACGCAACTGTAAGTCTTGGGAAAAGCTTGAAAAATATTTTTTTTCTGGTGTGAAACGTAATTCTATGGTATTATTTTGAACAGCTAACTTGAATAGAAATGTTATAACAGTACGTCATCGGCATAATGACATCATCACTAATTAGCGATATGGACAACCGCACTGAGGAGCAAGAACTTTCTGCGATTGAGCATCTACCATGGTACCATGGCAACCTGACTCGACATCTTACGGAAGCCTTACTCATGCTGAACGGTGTCGAAGGGAGCTACCTTATGCGGGATTCGAACCAAAGTGGAAAGGAATACTGCATCAGTGTGAGAGGAAAGGATGCGATCAAACATTTCAAACTGGTGAGTTGTCTTGAGAAATTTTCCGCGGAGTTTTCAGATTATCGTAAAACTGGAGTCGGACTCCAGAATTTATATTCATATATGCCAGGAGTGGGCAAGGTTTATGCATCGGGGGCCAGAAATGTTGCCCATCTAGACTGGCGGACCATGTATGTGTGACGTAAGAAAGTTAAATTTTATGAACACTATTTAGAGTGTAATAAAGGTAAAATTGGAAAACAATAAGCCCCTTGCCAAAACTCAATTTAATTGCAATCTCAACAAATACATTGAGCTATTTTTAACTGAAACTTCAAAGTTTGGTTTTAGTTTCGTTGTGGCAGCATCAGACGAGCCAGATTGAATTACCCAACGGGCCAGGTTTGGCCCGCGGGCCTTAGTTTGCCCATGGCAGATCTATAACTTTCTGTACGCGGGTATTAGAAAGTCAGTAGTTGTTTCCAACTGTGCTCTTTCCATTTTAAGTTTAGAGCGTTACTTTGCGTTTCTTAGTGCCTTCATTCGACTAAAATTTAGTTTAACAAAAACTTCTGCTTTGTGGGAATAACTTTCCCCCAGCTGTTATCCCGGATGTGTGGACTTGAACCGTATGTCGCAAAAGACCACTGATGCGGTCACATCTTTTTTATGCATGTTTGCTCAAAGCAAGGTCTCGAGCCTTTAATTAAAAGTTGAAAGAGTCCCGATAGAAGAGTTGCAAGTTTGCTCAAAGCAAGGTTCTGAGCCCTCAACTAAAAGTTAAAAATGTACTGATATGAGAGAGGTTCTCGAGAAAAGTTCCCGAACCTTAAATAAAGATGGAAAATGTGTTCAGAAGATACAAGCATGGTATCATGGGGGCTTTACGTAGCCACTGAGAAACTAAGATCTATACATATCATTATAACAGAGATATAGATATAACTCCACACTTTTATTTCCAGGAGAGAGATGGGTCGATGTATTCGTTTGGCATATCTGAGTTTGATTCGTTAGAACATCTGATGATCCACTTCGCAAACCAACCGATCCTCTGCAGCAACTCAGGAACGATGGGTCAGAACTTCGAATTCGGAACTCTTGTGACGCTGAAATATCCTTATCCTTCTCATGTTGAGGAGCCTGACACGTAAGCTAGTTTTTTTTTTTGGAATTTCGTCCGCGCAAGTCGCAAGATAAGCTAAGCATTGCTAAATGAAAAGATATTCTGCTCCTTGGAAATTTGCGATTTTGGCCAGTTGTTTTATATCAGGGGTGGCCAACTTGCTTTCGTTCGCGATCGACTAAAATCTTCAAAATACTTCGCGATCGACTAATCGGTAATAAGGTCATAAACAAAAATGAATGAATACTGAATACGCAGATAACCGCACACACGCATACAAAAATTCCACCGCTGCTCGGTAATAATAAGCTTGGTTCTGCGGGCGCATTCTCAATGAAATTGCCTCAAAAATTTGCATTTTATATATTTCATTCAATTTGTTAATTTGAATATATAATTGTACACGGAGTAAATGTTTCATTATTTATTTTAGATTTATTCAAATCATACAATTCAGATATAGGAGGTCCTGTCTAATTTTTAGTCGTAAGAGTTTTCAATTTCTCAAAAATCCTTGAAAAATATCCATGTATTATTATCACATGGCTGCTCAAACTTCAGTATCTAATTTACAATTTTCTTCAAATCCACTTTTTTGCTTGCTTAGAATTAGAAAAAAATTGGGCATTCTGATGCCACTGCTACCGTTGCGAATAAAATTTATCACACATACTCTTGGAGTGAGACAATAACTTTCGCATAGTGCAGAAATTATTGAAGAATCGTTTGCCAGTCAGGACACACGATATTCTGCAAGTTCATTTCTAAAACTTGGCAGCAGTGAAACTTGCATTTATTAAGTAATGATATGCTCTATCGGGCTTGTCCATACCAAATTACTGCATGTGTGTATCGTATTTTGCGCATGTACAGTACTATATTCTTCCTGTTTAAAACACACAACAGGCGCTGTATTAAACTGGTTCAAGGCAATTTTTTGGATATGTTATTAAATTCACTCAACATCAGACGCGATCGACTACTCGAAACGTGGCGATCGACCGGTCGATCGCGATCGACTTGTTGGCCACCCCTGTTTTATATAATCAATAATTTATTTTTCCACCATGCCAAAGTACACTTTATGAATGAACAATAAAAAAAAATGGTACTTCAGATTGAAAGGAGGCGCGATACCCCATTACTGGTCATCGAGCAGCGACACCCGTGCTTCAAGTCTAACAGTATTAGATAAATCAAACAGTAATTATTTACGTCAAAATAGGTTGAGGCGATATGGTTACCCAGCAGACCTCCGATCCAAAAGACGTTCATTCACGCCTTTCTCTTCGAACAAGACTCCGTACCAGGGGCCGGCATTTTTGTCTAAAAATAAAAGATTTTAATTTGAATTACGATCTGGTGTGGGAAACGGACGAGATGCCGGGATTGAGAACTTTTAACGGCTCAATTTGAATATTCTGTTTTCCGGCATTCCTCGTTTATTCAATCTTTCTCTTCATTTATGAGTGGATTGATGTGCAAACATCGACAAGACCTTTTTCCCTAGTCGAAGTGTGTCTGAGTCGGATTTACGAACATGTGTAAATATGATTAGAGCAAGGGTCAGCAAACTTTTGTCGTTCGCGGGCCAAAATTAAAGATTGCAAGTCATTGGCGGGCCGCACATGTTTTTAGAAAGTTAAAATCCGAGCGAATGGCCAATGAATTACATTTTCCACACAGATTTCAGTTAAATTTTAAGCAGCACGCGAAGACTGATCATTTTCTGCGCCATTAAACCATTTGCACTCAGCATCAACTTTCTCTGCCATTCGTCTAATTATAATAAATTATAGGCTCATCAAAGGAATGAATGTGAATTATATACTTGTTGGGTTATAATATAATTTAGTGCCTCAAAACAAATTCTGTTACGTGAAGAATATAATCGTCAATACAGTTGTTTTGTTAATATAATTCAGTGATTATATTGTTCCGCGGGCCGGGTATGGCCAGCGGGCCGTGGTTTGCCGACCCCTGGCTTAGAGGTTGAAGATTTTGCATGCCTCTCATCACGCGTTCAAATCATATGCTCGCCATCTCACCCAGGGTGTAATAAATTTGGCATTGCTGAATCGGAAATATTGTGAGCCTACGAAATAGTAGCTACTTATACATTGCTCTATATTAGTGAATGCTCCACAGGGCCTTGTTCAAAGTCGTGGAGTTTCAACTGAAACTATAACGAGATAGCGATCAGAGACTGCCGACTTATCGATCTAGTGGCCAAATTTGCTGTTGTCAGTATTCAACCTTTTTCGCTAATATTTTATATGACATACTCACGGCTTGTATAAACTTTCACTGAAACCTAACAATATGTAAGAATGTCGTTGGAAGGACGGGCCTGTTTGGCATAGTCTTACCCTACATATTTATTATACCGGGTAAGAGGAAAGCCGATAAGGCGGATTGTCGTATGGCAAACCACGGCCTCCGTGCAGACACCAGTCCATTGGATTAGTTAGCCCTTTGTTTTGTATTCAGATGCATGGACTCGATCATAGTTGATATCGTAACCGACAAGGGTTACGTGACCACCCTACGGCGGCGAGGAGTCCGGCAATCCTCTCACATAACTATCCCAGCATATGATTCAAACCTGCGAACCCGCGCATGGTAACCAGGGGTTGTGTGGCGAGCGTATTCCGAACGCTTAGCATAATGCGCCACACCGCCAAGCCGATCTGGCAACTATTGTTTCTAAATAATATTCATTTTTAAGATTCGATGAAATCAGAATGCATTCAACCATGTCGCTCGATGCCGACAATGCAGCGCTCAAAATGAGAACGAAAGCTACGCCGATTGCAACGAAGGCTGGATACCTTACTAAGCAGGTATGAGCTAATAACTAAGTAGGCCTGTGAATCGTTTGAAAATTGTTGTCATTGCTTTTCACTTCAAGTAATGAAGAGGGCAAATTTCTACGAGGCCTGATTTCAAGGCGTAGCCAGGGGTTGGTTTTTGGGGGTCGGGACAACCCTTTTGAAATGTAAAAAAACATAAAAGTATCTTTCTGTGTCATACATAGCCATTTTTCGTTGCTTGGAACGCATTTTAGACCCTCAAGACTCTTGAAAACACACGTTTTCCGGCGTTCGGCCCGATCTGCTAGCTGTTTCGATCTAACTTGGAAATAAGAAGTTTCAGACCCCCCCCCTTTGAAAATTTCTGGCTACGCCCCTGCCCGATTTCACCACACATTGGGAGGTTTTGAAAGAAAATTACCATTTTTTTAAACTCCGATATTTGATGCAGTTCTTTCAACAATTGGGCGTAAATAAACAGAAATTGGGGCGACCATATTTATCATTTGGTGTTACTCGGGGGTATGCTATTATACAGCCTAATCTCAACCAGCGGAGCATGACCCACTTCTAGGCCACATGAACATTCCCTATTGAAACTTGTTAGAGTTATTAGTAAATTAGCTTATCTGTAATTTTAGTAGCAATGAATGAGATGCTGATTTTGCTACTGAGTGGTAATCCTCGTTTCAATTATTAAAAGGAGGAGTTTTTCTTTACAAAAATAATTTTTATTTTCCCTGTAGTTTCACCCTTGCATGAGAAAGCTAATGAGCCGCAGAATTTTTTGTACAAAATTAGCCCACGAAAGAAAAAAGGTTGAGAACCACTGGCCCAATCTATCCCAAATGTACGACTATACCGCCGTATTCCCTATTCCTGATGAATAAACCTTGGTTATATATGAACGATGGCATATCGAGGTAGACGTCGCGCTTAAGTAGCCATGACCTATGATGCTGAGGCTATTCCCTCAATGAAATAAACATACACAAGTATCTAACCCTCAGAAATAATGAACCAATTGCCGTACGGACCTGACTCGCCGCCTATAAAACGTTCAATTGTGTAGTGCTGCTTCACCATCATTAAAACTCATTCCTAATTCTACAGGGAGGAACTGTGAAAACCTGGAAGCAAAGATGGTTTGTTTGTATCAAAAACCAGCTGAGTTATTTCGAAGAGAGAACGGATGAGAAGCCGATCAACACGATTGATTTGAGTGAGTGCAACGAATGCTACAAGACAGATGTACCAGGTATGCGTGTGGTTAAATGTCTCTGAATAGGCTCTTGTGCAAGAAACGGTTCTAGGAAAATTCGCCTCAGAAAATTTTGTAGCATGAGCATTTTGCTGTAAAACAAGTATTTGTGATAAAACAGTTAGGTTACTTTTTATTTAAATATGATTCGTTATTTAAGAGCATAAAACGCTTGTTCGACGATTTTTCATGCGGCGAATTTTCCTACGCGGCAAAATTTCCTTCGGTAAAATTTTCTGCAGCGAGTATTCCTGCGGTGGGATTTCTATTTGTAGTGTATTCTGCCATCAGTTACAAACAGTAATATATTACAACGCTACTTTATTGCGAAAGCCAAAGCAAAATTAATATTCGTAGTAGACAAGCTCAAACAATATGATTCAATATCGCCGTCTAGTGGCGATAAAATGTATCACATAATAATGTATAACACTATTTCAACTCTAATTTGAAGCTTGAAATAATATTACTTCCGATTTATCCTTGGACTCCACGAGAGAACTTGATTTACAGGTCGGTTTGGGTGTATTATTTGGGCTAGTTAGTGATCTAGCTATATTCCAGTGTTGGTTGTAACCCCGAGTTATTGGTAATCCGATTCGAGTCACTCACCGTGTCGAGTCACACCGGTAATTAGTTGATAACGAGACATTCCACTTAGATGGCTCGTGTCACTTGACAGGATAGGATTACATAAATATATCGGGGGAGAGGAAAAGCAATAGGACGTCTTAACCATACGGCGAACCACACCCTCCGGTTACCATATAATGTCGGGTATGGAATTAGTTAGTTATTTGTTTTCGGAAGCATGGACTTGGTGGTGGAGGAAGCCGTAACCGACCAGCGGTTACGTAAACCACCTTACGGCGGTGAGGAGTCCAGCAATCCTTTCGCACATAATCATCCGCACAGGATTCAAACCAAAGCAGGGTAATCAGGAGTGCAGTGGCGAGCCGAGTTCCATGTCCGTTGATAAATGTTGATTTTCGTCTAACTCATGTCTCACTGCTAAATTCTTGCTGATGTTTAGGTAAGAGCTACTGCTTCTCCCTCAACTTCCGAGATCGGACTTGGATATTCAGTGCACAGTGTGAGAGCGATTTGGACGACTGGGTCACCCTGCTAACGTGGAAGCTAAATCGCAAAGATTGATGGTTTTACGACACTTATACGCAGAAAACTTCTTCGCAATATTTTACTTTTTGCTTCTGTAGCAATACACTGTCCAATTAAATTACACTGTCAGTGAGAAACTTGTTTTATTTTTTGTTGAACGTTGAGTAAATAAGTGGAATTCTTCTGTGGAGTCGAGATCAAATTTTCAAACTGTCCACAGTAGGTGTCAAAGTCAAATTATAAACTTGCTGGAGTCGAAGTCTGAGTAGTCTTCAAGTAAAAAACAATTTGACTAGAAAAATAAAGTAAAATAAAACACATTAAACGGGGTAGGTGGTAGTAATACGGCAACTTGACTGACCGGGGCAACGTCGCAATGCAAACCAGCAATACCAAATGTTGATGGTAACATCTATAGTTTTTAATTTTTGCGCTCCCGTAGTATGTGCACCAAGATGGCGGACATAAAAATGTAGTATATGTAACAGGTTAGGGCATTATTTTATTCTAATTTTCTTTATTTTAGTTTCATTACGTGTTCGTGGACTAGCCAAGTGACTCCCGTGGGAATTATACCTGAAATTATGGCCTAATCCTAACCTGGTACACATACAACGTTCCGGTGTCCCTCATCTTGGTACTATAATTCGTGCCACGAAGTCATCGGTCACATTGTACTAGGTCCTCGAATATCTGAATTTAAGGTTTGATGGAAACAGTTGCAATCTTACCAGTAATACAGTTAGACAAAGTGTGAAAGAAATAGAGACCGTGGTTGAATGTTTGTCTATGATAACAGACTGTCTTTGATGGCAGAATATTCCGCATTGAGTGTTTTCTCCACAAATAGTAGCTTAAGTGAAAGCGTTGAAACAAAATTTCCGAAGGGCGAAGGTGGGAAAGATAAGTATAAGTAAATTAGTTTTAACCGGGACGCTGTTAAGCAACATACAGATCAGTCTAGGCCAGGGTGGTCCAAGGTTGTCAGCTCCGCGAGCCACAAAATTATTTTTGCATTGTTCGCGGGCCACAATAGTGCCAAGAATAGGTAAACAGTGCAATACAAAACAAATACTTTTCTTGTGCAAACACATTGATCAGTTTATGTCATTTATCAATCTAACCCATGCAAAAGCCACCAAAAAGACTTACAAAAAAAATTTCTATATACAGGGTGTCCAAAAAGTTCCGCCCGATTTCATATCATTACCAATCGCAAATTTGAATAAATTTGGTTGTATGATAAATGGGGACTACGACATTCAACATCTATAACATCCAATTAGACACAGCTTGACTATAAATCTTTTTCAAAATTATATAAAAATAACATTTGATTACAATTCAATTCTTTTGTCACCGACACAACTTGCGACATCTCAGGCTTACAGATACTTACAATTAACACTTACACAGAAAGTAAGATTCCAAAATACTCTATTCTATCTATAAAATTATGTAAAACGCTGTAATTCATATGCCTCATTGTACAAGTTACAAAGAGTTTGCAAGCAACTAGGGCATAACGAAAACTTCAATAATTTATATGTCCATACGGCAAGCAATTACAGAATTTTCAAAATGCAGACTAAAGCGACAAGAATTTGGGACAGTATATGTACCTTTCTATTGAAATTGGAAGGAATCAAGCAATACCAGTGTGACACAAGCATCCCAAGTGTGAGATTACCATGACATGACAAGTATAGGACAAACAGGACAAGTATTGTGCAAGCAATACAATTGTGTGACAAGCAGGGTTGGTGAGCTGGCTTAAAATCGGTATGTCTCCAGCTCCAACTCCGGAGCAAGAGTATATTCAAGCTTCCCGGCTAATAAGTCATTTTTTTAGAACCAATTTTTCGGCCCGGTTTGGGATGGGCGTGTCTTATTGGGCGACTACATAATACAAAAATTTAATCACATTTGTAAATAAGTATGTAAAACAAATTTCACATAGTAAAATACTTTTGAACAATAGAAGTGCAATATGAGTACCAGTAGCGGCGCGTGGTCATTTTGACAACCGGGGCAAGCTACTGCGGGACCAAGTCACTCCCATCTACGGGGACAGGATGAGCGCTGTAAGTTCTCCCATCATTTTACGAGTATAAAAACCATTCCATCGGTAACAACAAATCGGCAAAAGCGACAATTTTTAACGATAAGAAAGTGTCTTTAAAACCGGTCCAAGTCAAGGGATTAAAAAATATAGACATAGTTTATTTTAAAACCTCTTTCAAAAGGAAAGGCAATATTTACCCAGATAAATACAATGACATATCAACAGAAACTTTGGGAAAGCAGGCAAAACCTAAAATAAGGTTTAAAACGTTACTATGAAGAAAGGAAAGTTAATGCAAAGATAAGGACATGCGTCGCTCACTCATAGATATATATGCTGCTAGACTTCTACTGCTTGAACATATATGCAACACGCCGCGGTTTCTTGGAAGCAAAATGCTCAATAACGCGCTGATTAAAGTCATGCATCCCAGAAATAACGTCTCTGTGAATGGATAAAACAGCCAAGGAATTTAATCTATCTTGCTTCATTGTGTTTCTGAGATACGTTTTAATACGCTTCAGCGTGCTGAATGTTTGCTCTGCGTCGGCGGAAGAAATAGGCGTCGTCAAAATGATGTCCAGAAATTTTGCAGACGCCGCAAAGGTAGTTACTAGAGTGTTATCTATGAGGAACCCATAGAGCGCGCAAGTTGATGTGTTGTTCAAAAAAGTTTGATTGGTGTATATACATCGCAATTCATTTTCCAATTTACCCACGTTTATCATGTGGTAAAATTTGGAGACAGTAGACAACAAATGGATGGGAAATTGACGTGCAAATTTTGAAAAATTTTTGGGGTTCATCAAAAAGAACGCGGCAAGGTGTTCAGTGCACAGACAATCGCTTATTTGATTCACCAGAATGTCACAGCATTCCTTTGCAGACAAAATCAAACGCCGCAGCGTAAAGAAGCACTCCATGTGTCGTCGTATTTTATTGTTTCCCGGATACGAGATACAGCATCGCAGAAGTCTGAAATACACGACTGCACAGACGCTCCTTCCATTAGCCTTGACTGCAGTGCGCCGTATAATACATCCACGTGATAGAATATTGTGGAGAAAAAAGCGAGAAAAAATGAAAACTCACCATCTTCTAGCAGACGCTTTAGACCTGCCGCCTCCCTCAGACCTAATTTCGGACACGCCCTGCACCACGCGTGATTGGAAGTTCCAACGTGTTGGTGCACAAGCTGGGGGACGGCGGCTACATATCTAGCGAAAGAGGTCAGAGCGCTTCGGCGAAACGGAAAAAAATGAAGAAAACCCCGAAACATTTGCAAAAAATATACGGACGAGAGGGGTATCAAGACACATATTTTTAATAACGAGGTTAAATTGGTGTGCATAACAATGTAAAAAATGCGCATGAGGAAAATCTTCTTTTATATAAACTTGAACACCATGTTTCGACCCACTCATGACTGCCGCGCCGTCATAAGTTTGAGCTATCAATTTTGACTTCGCATTGTAAGGCTGTAACACTTCTTTCAGTACAGCCGATATCCCGCAGGCCGTGCGATCAACGACTGGTACAAAGCTGTGAAATCTCTCGGTAGGTTTACCATCTTTCACAAACCGAAAAATCACAGCCAGTTGGGAAACGCACGTGATGTCAGTTGTCTCGTCAGACTGAATCGAAAGGAACTGGCAATTCTCAATTTCCAGAGCCAAATGTTGTAAATAAATTTTATACATTGAGTCGAGCAAATCATTTTGGATATCCTTAGATGTCCCTTTCGAAACAGTTGCGGCATCAAGATGATCTCTCAATACTGTATCTAGGAATGCGGTGTATTCAACCATATCCAAAAATACCCCTCTATTAGAAGAGCCAGCCAGTTCATCGTGCCCACGGAGGGACAGCTCGTGACAACCAATGAACTTCAAAACATCTATCAATCGACCGAGAACATGGCGGTTTTTCTCGACGTTTTGGTTGTGCCGACGAATAGAAACCGCGCGTCCTTCATCCAACTGTGCTGCAATATTAACATTTCCGAATGTTCGGTATTTTACTGCATTGTCCAGTTGCTCCATAGAAGATTGATGATCCCTGGCACGCTCGGAAAGATGTTTAAGATCTCTAAAACCAAATTTACACCAACGTGAGTCACGGGCGGTAGCAAAAAGTAGGCAATAAAAACAAAAAAGTGCATTTTTGTCCTCGCTGTAACACAACCATTCGTGTTTTTTATACCACGTTTCTGCGCAGAATGTACGCCGACGCTTTCCTCCGTCATGGGATTGTTCCAATGAACAATTTTTTGGTTGATAAGGCCCAAGACGTTGTACCTCTAATTTTTGTTCCAGCGGCAGCTGCGATAACGGAGTGCGAAGTAGTGCATCAACCTTATTCATATGAGGTCTAAGGCTAAGAAATGCGAAGCCGGAAAGAAGTGAGGAGCTCAAAAGGAATGTGGAAAGCAAATGGACTAAAGGTCTCTAACTGATTCAAATAGCGAAACAAGCGACAAAAACGAAGGCGAGGAAACTATCAATTCTTCAAGCAACCAACGAACGAGAAGGAATGCGTGAATATGTCAACACGTTGTTGTAAGAAACGTCGGCATTGTGTCGTCATAATTTCGGGGCTAGCCCCGATGATTTAGTAGAAGGAACAGAAAACAAACGAGACAAACGCGGCGAGTGGAAGATAAAATAGAGAATACGATATACAATGAGCAACCGGGGCAAAATCGGCGTCGCCCCGTCGACGTTCGGCGAAGGCTTTGCGAGCGAAAAATGAACCATGTCGGGAGCCCATATAGCCGATACCGACATTGAGGTATTTTTCGAATATTTTCTATTATACCGAAAAAACAACCGGGGCATTGCCCCGGTTGGCCCTATTGACGCGCCGTCACTGCAGTTGATGCAGGAAAGAAAACGTGAAACGCAACAATCATTGTACATGGAATTTTGGAACACTCAAAAATAACCTGCCTGTTAAAAGTAGTTTGAATTAGGTATTCGACGACGCCAAAGGTGTAAGATGATATTTATGACGTCATTATTAATGCTGTACTTGCTTGACTTGACATTGCTTGCTTACGCTCTCTCTTACCTGTACTGCATGCTGTTGGAAGCTGTGATCTATGACGTCTATGTTATATCCATAATATACTCAAGCATCCAGAACAGTTGTGTGTTTACCCACAAACAAACATGGTGTCAGAATCAGGATTGATTTAAAGTTGCATGAAGAATTCTAAAAATCGCGTCAGTGAACAATCAATTTAAAGATGGCTGATTCGTCATTAAACAGACCAGATCCTCTGATTTTTTATGCAGAAAACTTGAGAATATTCGTTCGTGAATATTATATTTTCATAGGCGCACTGCACAGTGATAAAACTGACAAAGCTGAAAGTTGCATATTACTCAATATAATTGGGAAAGGGGACAGAGAAAAAGAAGAATCTTTTACATATGAGGCAGCTGAAGGTGACGTTCCTGCTGAGTCTCGTGATGATCCAGAATGCCTGAAGAAAAAATTTGCTGAAATATGCCTACCCAAGTCAAACATAGGACTAACAAGACATCACTTTAACACAAGAGAACAGATGTCGGGTGAATCTATACAATCCTTTGTTGTAGACTTGAAAATCAAAGCCAAGTCTTGCGAATTCGGGGATCTCAAAGATGAGTTGATTAAAGACAGAATTTTGACTGGCATTTATGCGAAGGCAATTGCTAAAAGAAGCTAATCTTACATTGAAAAAATCTCTTGATATATGTGTGATACATGAGCTTACAAATGAGAGAATGAAATCCCTATTGATGAATGCAACGAAAGATGTTGATTCTGTATCGCCTCATAAAAGATACACACGCTATAGTCCGAAATTTAGACCTAACAAATTCGCAATGAACAATAGAACATTTCGTTCAAATAATGACGATTTCTATAAGCCTAATAGTCATTTTCAGAGCGCGTCTAAATTTAATGCTGCTTGCCAGTATTGTGGTTTAAATCATGCTAAATCACGTGATTCTTGTCAAGCATTTGGCAAGAAATGTAATTTTTGACCCAAAATGAACCATTTTCAATGAATGTGCTTTTTTAAACGTGGTCAATCAAAAGAATGTCATAGATCTTCATGACAATCAAAACCAGACCCCAGTTCATGAGGTTAATGACATGTATAATGCTGATCATTTTTACGGAATACTAGTCGTGATGGAGCATTTGCTGGTTTATATAACAACATGTCAAACTCAAAATTGATACTGATGGAAAATGCAATATCATGCCATTGCATTCTTTAAATTGTGTCAGATCTAATGAAAAGATTGACAAGAGAAATCCTGCATTTTTTGATTGGTTATGGGTCTAGTAATAGAGTTCCTACGATGTCTTGATCTATTATTGCACCTTTTCCTGTTCTACGCTTCGATATAGCATCTATTTTAGGTGACCTAGGTTTGACGTAACTTACCTAGAAAGGTGTGCACGAGCTTCTTTCAAACCATCAAGAATAGCAAGCTGAAGGGTATGTACTGTACAACTCATGTGTTTAATTGTATGAACAGTCGTTATTCTGTTCACAGCACTAAGTAAAGCTTCATCTGAATCACCTACATTTCCTTTATCTTCATTCAAATCATCGTTTGGCTCAACCTCGTCCCCACTTATAACTGCATTGAGTTCCTCCATTGTTTTGTCATGTTAGAGAGCATTATCTGTCACAATCGCTGATACATGTTCTTTACTAATTTCAAACTCTATGAGAACTTCCTCAACAAATTTTTGAATGAATTCACTTGTATGTTGAGCTTGTATATCCCGCACTGATAATGTACGGACGGCTATTTCATTTTTATAATCCATAAATTAAACATTTATAGCGAAATAATTGGTTCCCTGTCTAGTACAAGCGTCCATTTTCAAAAAACAAAATTTCCCATGTAATATATCCTTCAACACTATTTTTTGACACTGGGTTTCCTTCACCACCATATCTCTTATATCATGTCTCTCCAGCGATACTCCTAATTTGTTAGTCATTTTACTATTTAATCCGTGGAATGCTTTTGAAGAAAACAGTTAAAGTGCCGCTGCAATATTCACCACCATCAGTTGTATGATATGTCGGTAGAATTTTTCTTTAGTCATGGAAATGGTCACTTTTTGAATTGCGAAACAGCTTGAGACAGAGTTTTGTCTACTTGAAGGCCGTATATCGATGTCTCTCTTTGTGTCTTCACTGTCTTCTTTTTTGACAGACTCGATCGAACGCGTCAAAATGCTGTCTTTCCAAATGCCGTTTTCAATTTAAAGTTTCATTGATGAACTTGAGATTGCAAACGGCCCCATCTTTCTTTAATACTTGGCTGATTAGTGATTTTTTTTTATCTTCACTCTGTTTGAAATATTTGAACACTGCGGACTTTTACTTTTGCAAGCTATGGTACCAAGGGTTTCATTCTTACAAATTCAACTTCTAAATGAATACTAAATACTATTCAAAATGAAATATTATATTGTCATGAATGGCATCAAAATTAGGTAAGCGTTTTCGGCAAGCGAGTAATCGTATCTATACATCAACTGGCCGTTCCGACACCTGGGGCCCCATTCACAAAGCTTCGTTACCGCTCAACGTGTTAGTTATGCCCCGACTTTCTCGTGAAAAGCAAAAATGGTATTCACAGAGCTTCGTAAATATCCGAGAGAAATTATTCGAGAGAATTTTTTTGGCGCCAAATGAGACGTCTCGTAAAGTGCCTTCTTCTCACATTTTACCGAGAAATGGTATTCACCAAACTTCTTTAACGCGCTGAAGAGCTCGCTAGCTAACGAGGACAATTTTCGCCTAGTTAACAGTTCGGATTGCTGCTCTCAGCAGTGATTCAAGTTAAAATAGGCTCGTTGAGACGTTAGCATACTATGTACAAATTGGCATAGTATCGAAAGGCCTTACTCGGGTAAGCGTGTATGTAGTCTAGTGCCGTAAACTTAGCTGTGGAATATCTGCCGCATTTACAGATTAAACTAGGGTTGAGATTCAGAGATTTTCCAGTTGTTGAACCCATTGTTTTTTGTTTATTCTAGCATTATTATAAACATTATTTTAAATTTACAAATGGCTTCCTATATTGAAGCTTGCAGGAGAAAAGCCCCAACAATCTCTCCATATTGTATCAAAAAAAAAAATCCACGGGATGCAAGTGAAAGGATCTGAACAGAAGACTATAGACTATAGAATAAAACTATAGACTATAGAATAAAAAATTAATAACAGAGTTGTGCCAACTTCTACATCCAAAACTGGCACCCTTTACGAGGCGCTCACATGCACTGTCGGTGGAAGAGCAAGTCCTAATAAGCTTGAAGTTACTAGGCTCTGGAAGCTTCCAGTCCAGCGCTAAAGACATTATTAACGTCTCCCAGCCAACTGCAAGCAGAGTTTTTTCAGAATTTCTCAATGCCCTAGGTGAGCTTGCAAATGATTTTATACATATGCCAGACGATCCATTTGAAACCAAAATGAACTTCTATAATATAAACAAGTTTCCAAATGTTATTGGTGCTATCGACGGGACCCATGTGCCGATAATTGCTCCTGCTGCCAACGAACATCTTTACATTTGTCGAACGAATTTTCATTCTTTGAATGTACAGGTAAGCATGCTCATATTTCAATAATATTTTAATGTTTTCTGTAGGCAAGATCTTTAGAATCACTAATGTTATTCAACTCTTCCTTTATAATACTGCTTTTACATTTTATTTATTTCATCTTTTCTCAATTGCAGGCAATCTGCGATGAAAAAATGATCTTTACAGACATTGTGGTCAAATAGCCTGGCTCGAGTCATGATTCGTTCATATTACAACAATCCAACATATATGACAAATTCGAAAGTGGCCAATTTGGTAACAGCTTGCTGATTGGGGACAGTGGATACCCATTAAAAATGGTTGATGACACCAATTTTAAATCCCAATGGGCCAGTCGCTTAAAGATATAATATTGCACACAAAAAGACAAGAGTAATTATCGAAAAGTAAGTTTATTCATAAATTAATATTATGCCTTTTATAGCAGCTAGCAAATAAAAAATCTTAATGGCCATACATATTCCTAAGTATTTCCAACCAAACAGCTAGACAGATAATTTACACAATGTATACAATAAAATATTTTGTTGCATTTCAAAATTGTATAGTAAATGCCGCATCAGAGGTAAATAACTGCATCTTGTTTCAGAGCATTTGGAGTGTTGAAGCAAAGGTGGCGCATTCTCGATCATATCGGGGGCAAATTGTGCTATACGCTATTGAAAGTTGCGAAAATTATAGTATGTTGTGTTATTCTACACAATATGTGCAGGAGAAATAACGTTCCTCTGCCTTTCAATGGGAGAATTCACCCTGCACCGGACACAGATGAAACTGCAGCACAAGATGATTTCGAACCCACTGCAGAGTCAGTGCGTTCGGCCATAGTTTCAAGTTTTAGTTAAGTGTATCGTCAAAAATTTTTGTGTGCTTGGAGTAAGGGTGTTGTCAAAAACTTAATACACGTGAAATTAGCGACAATCGTGACGTCACCACAGATTACCTTATATCCTTGCGACACGTGTATTGTACATTTCAGATAGAGTCGATTTGAATATGGCCACTCTCAGCTTGGTTGGGGCTGTTTGTATCACAATCACAAATTTGGATATTCGAAACATTTCGTCATGCAATAGTCCGGCAGAATCGGGCATTAACATTGTTTTGGGACATAAAGTTTTTTTTATTGTTTAGATATAATGTCGATGACATATATAATGATACCCAGGTGGGTGTGGAGTATATAACGTTGAGCAATTTTTTTTAAATGGATTTTAAGTATTTCCACCAAGATGACGCACAACCTGAATCCTAACCTGATACACATGCAATGTTCAGGTTGTGCGCCATCTTGGACGAATACTTCGGGAGCACCTTTTCGTTAAAAACAATTATTTCATAACTACACGGGTTAGTTTTGAATACATAGTAACATTGCATCTCCTTACAATGTCAGAAATTCATTTTTAGTAGATTAATGGTAGTTTATTTCACCAATATAAGCCAAGATCTATCGACAGCATCTAGCCACTTTCTTTTACGCTCGTCAAACTACATTTGTGTTGCTGCGGGCATTTCGTTTTCCTGATTAAAGCTTCGGGACTTAGGAAATATTTTATTAGTTGAAATGGATTGGAATATTCGACCTCGTCTCTCACTCCGAACAAGGCCATGCAAAACCATCCACTGGTATCTAAGGATGTGTAACGTGTTTTCGTTTGGAAGAACCTTTCAGGTGCAGCATTGACTTTGGCCAAATTAATATATCCTTGTGGAGATAGAAGGTATGCGTATGCGAAACCGAGATGTGCACCTGTTATGCCAACATAGATAAGTCAAACATTTTGATCACTAGTACATCACACACATTTTCCTGCGTGCTTCGGTGGTACATAATAACGCGCACATTTTTGCGAACATGCATCAAATTCCACTTGTTTATTGAGCTATAGGTTTTGGACGAGCTTTTGTGTATGATTTCATTTCATAGAATTTGTATGCTGTTTTAAAGAATACTAGTTTCAGCTTTTTTATTCATTCAAACCGCGTGTTGGAAGTAAGTTTTGTAATACCGCGTGTTGGTTTTCAAATGGTTTATTTATATCCATTACTTGACATCCTTAAATCGGTGATGCCAGTAAATCTTTAATACAAAAAGATCAGTATCATCTGCAATAAAAACAGCAGTACCTACTCAAATGACAGCTGGGGGGGGGGGGGGGTGGATACTCATATTATCTGCTCCATCGCGTGCCGCTCACCAGTTTACATGAGTGCCAATTGGTATCTAAGCTCAGCCAGAGACAAAAAGTTTCGGATTGCGGTTGGCGTGACGAATTGTTTTTAAATATATATTCCACAATAAGATTATTTGATGCATATTACTGAAAGTTACGCTTTTTATGTCTTTTCCCATTGCACTCACTATTCCTTTACTGATATTCAATAATATGACGCTCATCTGACATAGTTTTTCAAGTGTGTAGAAAGGTATAATCATTTCCACGCTGTTCAGATGGGAATGCGCGAATATATCTGAGAATCGCTAATATTGGTTTGCAATGCGATGAAATCCCATCTTGGCATTTCTGCCTCTCGCAATTGCTGCGTATATTTATCGGAGAAGTTCTGTGGCGTGGTTATCAAATGAAGAACACATGGGAGTATTTTTTCTACTTCTTCACTACTCTCAAACCTTGACATTTTGCCAAACCTTTTTTCCATGCAACCTTTTTTTTGAAACATCCCCAACAACCACAATTAATTCTGTCATTGAACTTCCGAAACAAACAGACAAAATCATCAACAGATGCATATCACCAAATCCTAAGTAGATATTGCTAAATTGATCTTCATTTTACCATTTTTCATGTAATGCTTTTTGGTAAACCTGTTATCTATCGTAAATACAGCACATTTGGCTAGGTTGTAGTGTAACTTTTTTGGCCTCACATTTTTGATATTTGTATTCAGATCTCTTGGCCTTGGGGCTCTGTCAAGCAGAGTTACTTATAAAATATTGGTTGTAAGTTGCAAAACATGATCATGTTGTTGGAATAACTCGGCATTTTACCACCCGCATACATATCATTCATTGTCGAGAATAATAAGGAAATCATAAAATCTAAAACCCGTTTTCGTGAATTTTTTGTTGTAGCTGAATTCGAGGGACAGCATGACAACAGGCAAGAGAAGCACGGTAGCCTCTTATAGTTTATGACAGGGCTTCCTAAAAGGGGACCCCGACCCTCTTTGAGGCCACTGATCGGTTATCTGGGAGCACGAACAAACAGATGGAAATGCGAATATATAATAACAATGTATTTTTATAGAAGAGAAGAAGCAAAAGTGTTGAAAGTCTTTGGTAGTTTGAAAAGCATTGGCATGGAAAATAAGAATGAACTACATTCTTTCCCAGGGATATACTATAAAATGTAGCAATTATCTCATTCTTGTTCTCGTGATAGTATTATCTTTCATTGCATCGTCGTGATCATCCCGCTGCATAACAATTCTCGCTAACAAATAATTGACTGTTCTCCACCGGGTATATATCCACTTGAACCACTGCCTGCTGCATTAGCAGGCTTGTATTGTTAATTGCAACAAGAGCGGGTATTTTTAAATAGTACTCTTTATTTTACGCGTATGTCACAACAGTATTTCCATATATATATATGGGTCGCGACCCAAAGCTGGGTTTTAAAAAATACCTAAAAGTTATTGATTTTTATTTCATAGTAAATTTGGTGCTTCCGTTGTTTGTGCACCAAGATGGCGCCCAACCTGAACATAGTATTGTAACAGGTTAGGGTTTAGGTTGTGCGTCATTATGGTGCACAGATTTAATGAAAAACACTAATACAAATATCGAGCCGTAAAAAAAATTGCTCAAGGCTGCAAACTCCACACCCATGTAGAAATGATGGGCAATAACCCCAAGATGAATAATCACAAATAAAAAAAACTTTATGTCTGAAAACGAGGTTGAGCCCAAAAAGGCCCCTTATCTGCCGGACTACAATGATTGTGACGTAAGCAGCCCCAACTCTTAACTGAGCTGGGAGTGGCCATATTAATATTGACATATCTTTCTGAAATGTTTGATAGACTTTTAGCAAGGGGATGACGAAATCAGTGATGACGTCATGCTCGTCGCCAATTTCCGGGTTGTATTAAGTTTTTGACAACTTCCTGGCAGTGAGTCATAATCCCCATATACATGTATACGTGTTGATCAGTAACGTGAAATTTAATGATTAAAAGTGAAATTTAGTCTTCAAATTTTTTCATTATTTCCAAATTCTCTTTGCTCAATGTGATTTATGAAAATAAATTAGTCTAAATTTTGCGTTCCTTTTTCAATTTTTGAGTATTGAATTTTGCCCTGGAGAGTATACAAAATATGAAAACTCAAAATTGTTTACTTATAAATAACACACTTTAATTTTAGAAAAGCTGCTAAACATAAATAACACTAGGGCTTTCTTTCTTTCTTGCAAGTCACTAGATTCAGATATTTCAATGAAGTTTTTTTATTTAACTTAATTTTTAGACCCACAGTTTGATGTTGAGAAATAAAGGTCTTTGGCCTGTCCTGTTTCATGGGAAGGGCTTATTTTAAAATCAATTCAAAATTCCGGCTAGGTCTTTTTTTTTGGAAAACACATATGTCAACATCTATGCCAGAACTGTATTTTATCGCTTTGTAAACTCTCTAGGATCGGCCCGGTCATGAATGGCAGATCTGTGTCATAATTTGGGATTATGGCTAAATTAAATCTATTTCGGGGGGTCAATAGTATTTCATAGTGGTCTGCATGTGAACAAAACCAATTTCAAAACTCAAAATGTTTGAGTTTAAATTATCCATGCTTGATCCGAGTGTTCTCAATTACGGTGACGTCATCATATTTTTTTTATGTATAATTTTTATTTTGCAACAAGGTCAAATTTATTTGTATGAGTATTTCAAAGCTTAAAAATAAACAAATATTTGTTGTTAGTTGAAAACGAAGTATTTTGAACGCGCGAGCAACGTTCTCCGGCTCATAATAAACAAACAAAGATACCAGAAAGCACGCGATGAAATGCTCTTCGATAAAACGAATATCACTTCACTTACAAATCCCACTTTTGTTTTATTTTGAAGGTGACGTAAAACTCGTCCAAAGGAAAACTCTTTCTCTCGCATATCAATCACGTGTTGACCACAGCGTTAAAAGTGAGAAACTTTTTCTCGAAATTTCTCTCTTCTCACTGGCATATGGTCGGACGCATTTACACTACGTAATGTGGGCGCGTTTTAGTGGAAAGCGACGAAAATAAGCTTTTTAGGGACACATTAATGATGTCTTTGGCATTTTTGGTTGGTGAAATATTAAAAAAATTATAGAGGGGTGTCAAAATGACCCATGAACACCAGGTTGCAGGTCATTAGGTTGCAATAAACAAACCACTTTGAATAACAGTCTCATATACTTCTATAAAAAGTGATATTGTCAGTTTCGTATTGCTTGCTATAGGAGGGTCTCCACTGTTGTATTCCATCTCACAAGAAGAATAGAAAATATTTCTGAATCTTATATCGCTCAAAAATGTTTGACAGACTGACTGATGTACGATGGTAAGAGCAATAAGCCAGCACATTTCTTTTCGCTTGGCAAAAAAAACATGTATCACTCACTCATTTCGTGGAATTTTCCAATTAACCATATTTCATCTTCGCAGTGTATTTTATTCACATTTTTGTTTTGGTACCATATTAAAAAACATCTCCACATTACGATAATAGTTTACAGACGGGGTTGGAGTATTGGTCAATAGTAACAGCATAAAACGATCTCCAAACCCACAGAAGTATCGGTACTTCAAATTATAGAAATTGTGCAAAAAAAGAAATTCCAGGCTTGATGAAAAAATGTACAGGGTGAACCAAAGGTAGTTTGACAGTATTAATAAATTAATGTTAATTATAAGTTTT